TCCCAAGCTTCCAGTGCGACTCCGCACTGGTAGCGGAGCCCTGAAGACTCCTGTGCCCCATGGCGAGCGAAACTGCAGGGCGCGGTTTCTGGCGAGATGACGAAATTGTCGTGGACAAGGACGGCATCCCCCACTACACAGGGGCACAGCCAGGCTTGATGAGGGAGTACCGAAAGCGCGTCCTGTTTGCCTACCAGAGCCTCGAGGGCAGCGGTGACGACGAGGAGAAGGAGAAGAAGTCGCTGCAGAAGAAGCAGACCAGGTTCGCGAAGAAGCTGGTGGATGGGCTCCACGGTGAAGCGTGGAGGGCCTGCCAGGACTTAGTGTCCCGGCCCGAAGAGCTGAAGACGCCCGATGGCTACAAGAAGGTTTTCGCCGCCCTCCAGCAGATCGAGAAGGTGTCGGTCATCAAGGCGACGGAGGCTTTCGACACTTACTTTGAGAAGTGCCACCGCCGACGCGGGGAGGCAATTGACCACTACCTTCGGAGACGGCGGCAAGACTGGGCCGACTTGCAGGACCTCGCGGACAACGTCAACATGAGCCCGGAGCTGCAGGCTCCTTAAGAACGTGAACTTGCCGCGCGACGACAGGCGGCAGATTCTCCTGGCGTGCCAGTCGAGCTACTCGGAGGAGGCGATCGAGAAGGCCCTCCGGGTGTCGTACTATGACTACCACGAGAAAGAGAGGACTACGACCCGCGACTGGCATGGACCTCCGCGGCGTTCGGGGAAAGGTTTTCCTTCTCAAAAGGGACAGCGGAAACCACACTATGCCAACGCCGTGCTGGAGGAGGACATGGACCCCGAGGACCAGGACGCTGACGAGCACGAGCCGGAGGACTACCCGAACGAGGTTTTCGCGGCGACGGGCGGCACGGACGACGGCGAGGAGGACGAGCACTTCTCCGATGCCGGGGCGTCGGGCGACGATGAGATCTACGAGGCCTTCGCCAGTTACCAGGAGAGCAGGAAGAAGCTGCGTGAAGTTCAGAAGGCCCGAGGTTTTCTGAAGGGCAAAGGCGGAGGCAGCCCCGACGACCGGAAGGCCGCCATAGCACGCGAAAAGGCGAGAACCCGTTGCTCTGCATGCGGCCGTTTGGGTCACTGGGCTGGAGACGATGTTTGCGGCAAAGGCGGCGCGAGCTCGCCCAGCAAGGGCAAAGGAGGACGCAGCCCGAGCCGGAAAGGAGGACGCGGCAGCAAGGGCAAAGCCTACTTGGTCGGCGATTCCCCCTTGTACTTCAGCCTGAACGACGGCGACGAGGACGGGTACTGCGACATGATCCTGGACACCCCGACGGAGATGGACCAGGACGATGGCAACAGCGAGCTGGACGAGAAGCGGAAGCACCCAATGCCAAAGGCCCGACCAGAAGCCAGGGCTAGCACAACGGCTGAATGGGAGTTCGTTTCTGAGGTGCCCCCGTTTCCCTTCGAGACGGACGGCCCCGATTACCACGAGGCCCCGTTTGCCACGAGCCCCGTGAAGGACCGCAGCCAGCACGTGATCATGCCCGTGAAGACGGAGGACATCGAGGTGCACACCGTGAAGAGCTTCGCCGAGACGATGCCCGTGGACCTCGAGGGCATGATTGTGCGGGACCTCCAAGGGGATTGCGACCGTTGGGGAATACAAACCTCAGGCACCAAGGCGGAGCTCATCAGCCGGCTTCAGCAGCTTTACCGGGGCGGCCTAGTACTACGCAAGGGCTGCTCCAAACGCTGGGTACAGCTGAAAGAGCACGAGGGGTCTTTGATCCCCGAGGGCGCCCGCGGATATGCAGCCAGCTCCGTTGCCGGGCCCGAGGGGCCCGGCCGTATATTTCGGCCCTACGTCCCCGGCACCAAAGACACGCGAAGCACCGCACCGAGCGCAGCAGCCAAGAAGAAGGGTGATGAAAAGAAGGTGTGCCCTCGCTCGGGCCTGGAGATCCCTTCAAGCTTGGCTGTCGGAGAGGTTGTGCCCCAAATTGGCTGTTTGGTCTGCAAGTGTCCTTTGGTATTTCGCCAGCGGCTGGACAAGACAGGCTACTTCTTCGGATGCCGAAACTTTGTCACTGCAAAAGCGCTGCCGCTTCACGCTGGATCTACCTGAAGGACTGCAGCTCTACGAGAAGGCGCTCCGAGCGGGGCGCTGAGGGCAGCCACGACCACAACGGCACGATCTCACCGTTCCTCTACGGTGGCCACACTGGAGAGGAGATGCATGGCCTGGAGAATTCAGGGACCAAGCCCAAAATTCGGGAAGGTGAATTCATGATCCCGAGGACACCGCGAACTGTTGTTTTTGCACGAGTCTTTGCTGCGCAACGAACCCCACGAACACCGAAGCACCAGGACCACGAGACGGCGCAGGACGAGTCCCAGCTTTGCCTTTTGGACACGGCTTGCACCAGCTGTTTGCACTCTCGTCGGTGGAGGGCCGCTTTTGAACGTTGGCTCTTCGAGGGTGTGACCTGCAGCCCGACCGGCCAGACCAAGAACTTCCACTTTGCCAACGGCCAGTCGGAGAGCGAGCTCACGGTCTGGAAGGTGCCGGTGTATCTGAACAACATATACGGCGAGATTTTCTCAGCCGAGCTCCCAGAGGGGAGCACACCTCTTCTGTTGTCGTTGCCGACTATGACCGCACTGGGGATGGTCCTCGACCTTGCGGGCGGCAAGGTGATGGTCTCGGCTTTGGGCATCGAGATGGAATTCGTGCAGACCGCGACCAGGCACATATCCATCAAGGCCACCTACGATCCTACAAGACCACTGGCCCAGCCGAAGGGGAGCAAAGAGGAACCCGACATCACCACCGACGACCTCATTATCTACTACCTCGCGGAAGGGGAGCTACCGCTTCTACATGAGATGAGCTTCGCGGCTTTGGGCCCAGAGAGGTCCAACGGGCCGGCCCCCGACCTCGGGAACAGAGGTGTTACAACAAAGGACCGCACGGCCGTACTTCCAGAGCGCAGAGCGAGGGAGTTGAACCACAAGTGCAAGAAACAAGCGGCCGAGGATAAACGAAGCTGGGCCGCGCTTAAGTGCAACTTCACTCTGGCCGAGCAATGGTGCAGCCGGGACTTCCTCGACACCATGCTCTTCGAGCCTTTTGGCAGAACGTGCCCTACCACAACCACGGCCACGAGGGAGCACAGCTGGACATGCAGCCGGCCCTTGGAGCAGGACGGCTGTGACTTGCTGTCGGCAGGTTGCTTGGACGCAGCTCGGAGAACACTTCGCGAGCACAGGCCCTACCTGGTACTTGCCCCCTTTTACAGTCGACTTTGGGCAGTTCTGGGCGATGGGAACCCGGCGCCGCAGAAGCTGGGCCGTCGAATTGGAAAGTTCCTTGTGCTTTTGGCCCGCGAGCAACACCGCTGGGGGAGATATTACCTCTTCCAAGCGCCACCGGCCGAGTTTTCTTGGATCTTCGACAAGGTCGTGGGCACGTTGACCGTGGAGGCTGGGGGGAAGTTCACCTATGGGGACCAGTGTGCCTATGGGCTGCGGGGGCTAGCCGGGAAAGCCCCGGAACAACGAAGGACAGGGTGGCTGTCCAACAGCGAGATTTTGCTCAACTACCTTGGCCGGCGCTGCCAGCGCCCACCGGCCACGCATGGGACACAAAGCCGGTCTCCCAACAGCCTCCCTCCGGGACTCTGCCGGGCAATTTGCCACGGCACCAAGGCAAGCATGAACTTGGACTATGCCATCAGCATGGCCTACCGAGACGGCAAGCACGCCTTTGCCGGGGACAATGTGGACTCCGACGGGGACGCAGAGATGGGGGAGTACGAGGACGACAGCCCCGAGGAAGAACCGTGGGAGGACGAATGGCAATTCGTTGGAGAAGACCGCCTGCTACGAGTTCACCGAGTTCTTCGGCAACGTCTTTTCCTACCTTTGTCTACGACGGCCCCTCCGGTTCCACTTCCCCGGCTGCAACCGACACGGAGAACAACGATGAGGCTACAAGACGGCACCCACCGAACTGTGGAGGATAGCTGGCAGCACGGCAGAATCGAGCAAAGAATGGATTTCTCCTGGACGGGGACCACCGAGTTCTACCTCTACCCTCCGAGAGCAGGACAGGCACATGAAGAACCACAAGAACCACAACAAGAATCACGAGATCACCGGGTTTCTTCCGATATAGGTTCCGAATATGCGCCGTCTTTACCAGAACCTTCTCCACTACAACCTCCAGAGGCAGAGCCTCTTCCCTTTGACTTCGACCCACAGGCTTCAGCAGTTCCTGTAGATTCAGATCAGGAACAGGCAGATGAAGAACCGCAAGAACCACCACAAGAATCACGAGATCACCGGGTCCTTAGGCGAGGCGGTCGCCGCCAGAGACAGTTGCAGAGGGGGTTTTGGCAAGAGTGCAATGACGAGGCAGTGCTCGATTTACTTGAGTCAACAGCAGAGCACCTTCGTGAGAGTGGGGCCGGTGTCTGGTATCGTCTGGGAACAGACAGCGATCTAGGACGAGCCTGGGTTTCCTTGGAGAGCGGGCAAGCCGATGTCACCTTGATCCTTTGCTCGCTCTCGGCCAAGAGGATGAAGAAGCCACAGCCTCACGCGGGACCATTGGATGTGCCCATCCGGAAGTCCTACCTCCTGCTGAATGGCAACGAGACCCTCACGACAGACTGGGAGGAGTGGCACAGCATGGCCCCTTCAGCTCAGGTGCGACCTCTTGTGGCACAAGGCCGGCTGCTCTACGTTGTCCTTTACGGCAAGGAGATCGGTGATGCACAGCGAGCTCCGGAGGGCAACCCGGGAGAGCGCCAGGAAGCAGCCGAGGAAAGCCGACAGAGAAAATGGCAAGCTTTACCTCGCGAGCTGAAGTTGGCCATCAAGCGGGTGCACATCAACCTTGGACACGCGCCGAAGGAGACGATGTTGAGAGCCCTCAGAATTTCGAGAGCATCCGAAACGGCTGTGAAAGCATGCCGCCTCTTCAGGTGTGTGGACTGCCCTCGGCTGGCGGAGCCGAAGCAGCCGCGACCTAGTAAACTCCCAATGGTGGATGACTTTAACGTGCAAATCGGGCTAGATATCTTCCAGGAGAAGGACGCCAAGGGTCACAGCTGGTCGTGGCTAAATGTCTTTGATCAGGGCACTCTCTTTCAAGTGTGCAGCCTCCTTGGCGAGACGCACGCGAACCCGACTTCGGCCGAGGTCCTGAAGGCTTTCACCACCTCCTGGGTCGACTGGGCTGGGTTCCCCGAACGTGGGGTGGTGACCGATAGGGCAAAATACTTTTTGGCAGACTATGCAGAAGAGATTGCCGATCACGGGTGTCACTTCGACACAGCAGCCAAAGCTTCGCCCTGGCAGATCGGACAAATAGAGCGCCACGGAGGACTGTGGAAGGAGACCTTCCGGAAGCTTTGCTGGGACCAGCAAATTTCGACTTTAGAAGAAGTCCTCTGGGCCACCTCGGCGACGAACCAGGCAAAGAACGCCCTGGTTCGGAAGTCTGGGTTCTCCCCGGCCCAGTGGGTCCTGGGGAAGGACATACGTCTCCCTGCCTCTCTAGCCGACGAGGGAGAAGTGGAGAGAATTGGTGCCCAAGCCCTGGCGGACACTCCTGGGACGAGGTTCCACACAGGAAGAACCAGATCCGGATGGCGGCGCGCGAGAGCTTTGCCCGAGCCTCCAACAGCGAGGCTATTAGACGAGCTGAACTTCGGCAAGTGCGCCCGAGCCGTGGCCCTTTCCCCGCGGGCACCTACGTCTTCTACTACGACGCAGCGAACAAGCAGCCTGGCCCGAACTGCTGGCGAGGAGTGGCCAGAGTGCCCAATAGACTGGGTTATACTAAA